CTCCTGACAATAGATAGGGAAAGCTTATGTGCCTATGTGCACACGACCATTGTAGGGAAGACTGAGATCTCCTGAGACCTAGGACAACCTGACTTCTGCTCCATGGACTTGAAAAGAGGCTTAAAATAAATTTTATAGACCCATATTTTAAAAAAACATGTTCCTCTGAGGAGTTCCAAGTATGTTATAGAGAGCATTTTATACTCATTTATGCTATGAAATAAAAGAGATATACCATTTAAAATTAATACTATGCCAGACAGATTTCCTTATAAATTATTGGTCTTGTCCTCCAGTAATTGCTACTGTCGCTCTCCATTTCCTACAAGATGATGACCACACACAGAAGACACTTCCAACTGTGGCCTCTGCCAACATGTCTACCATCCTTCAAGCCGTCAGATCCAACTGGCACTCCCAACTGCCTGATGCGCCATGCTACTCCATACCTCCCTGCCTTGGTACGTGCAGTGACCTCCATCTCCTGAAAACTTCCTCCTCGTTCTTCATGGGCTACCATGAACGTCACCTCCTCAGAGAAGCCTCTGCAAATCCCCTAATGCAGTGGTGCTCAAGCGTTAGTGGCACCAGAATGTCCTGAAGGGCTTCTTGAAACATGGGTCCCCACCCTCAGAGTCTGTTCCAGGAGGTCTGCTGGAGCCAAGAATCTGCATTTCCAACAAGTCCCAGGAGGTGCTGCTGCCCTGAGAGCACACCTGCCCGACAAAGTGGACGTGTACCGTGTGTGCCTCATAGCCTCTGCCCCCTCACCCACACCCACGCAAGGCTGGGAGCTGCTCAAGGACAGGGAACAAGGCAGCACTGAGTGCATGGCTACTAAACCAATGGATGGATGGATGGATGGATGGACAGATGAATGGATTAGATTAGACTGAATGTATTCACATAGCTTTTCCATCCAGGTTTAGGACCTCATAAATGCTCACACCCAACCCCAATACCTTAAAAACATCATCTGTAACAGATTCCCATTGCACAGAGAAGGTAAAAAGAAACTCAAGAAGAGTTTCGACCTTGTAAGCCTGTGTCAAAGGAGTTTGGAGTTCTAACCTAGCACTCTTTCTGCTACCGTGGCCCCACTGGGGCTGTTTACTCAAGTGGCATTAAAAGAGTCATAGCAGAATGCTTCTGAGAGACACCTCTCAGAGTCCTACCCACCCAAGCACTCCCTCTCCTATACACACACACACACACACACACACACACACACACACACACAGGGATTTCATTTATGGAAAGGAGATGAAGGTGGTAAGAGAAATGGAGGGAGAAAGAAGAATCCAGCCTCCCACAGGGAGAGAAGGGCAGCAGCTCAGGTGGGGAAGACCTCATCAGAAAAGCACTGGCTCCCCAGGGGAGTGTGGGAGCTCCTAGCAGCCCTGGGGTGCCCATAGTGGAGGCAGACAGGCAAGGGCACAGAGGAAAGGGGACAAGCCTACAGGAGGATGAGAAACGTGTGCCAGAGTAGGGTGGGGAAGGATGAGAGACTAGGAGAGGAACAAAGGACAGAGAGCATCAGCTGGGAGGGGGCAGGAGGATGGGAGAAATGGCAGTCAATGCTGAGCTGGCAGCACAGGGCAGCTTGGCTGGGGGAAGGTCAATGCCAGCTCCACTCTGCCCTTTCAGCAGCAGCAGGCGCAGGGATGAGCAATGGGCTCCGCTGGAGACACAGTTGGGGGAGATGCAGCGAGGGACAGCAGGAGGACCAAAGTCAAAAGGCCTCTCTGCTGCAGGTGGTGCAAGCCAGCTGCCCGGGGCCCTAGAATCGCCTGCGTCTGTAGGGCTGTCTCTCCGAGAGGCCTGTGCTCACCAGCAGCTCGGGTCAGGCTAAAGAGGGGAAAGTCAGCATTCCCACCACACTGGCGTCCAGCGTCCAGACCGGTTCCTGAGGGACTGCAGATTAGCCTCCAGGATTAAGCTCCCCTGCCTCCCTCCCCCACTCCACAAGCCCTGCCAAGGGAGGATCACAGAGCTGAGACCTCAGGATGCTGCAGAGCTGTCACATTCGATTCACCACACAGCCCCAGTGGCATTTAGGGGCAGGACGGATGGGAGCCCACCCCCACCGCAAGCAGTGGGAGCAGCTAATGACTGGGTATTAAGGATGCTGGCAATTAGTGCTCCCGAGAAAATGGTTGGGGGCCGCTCACTGGGGGAATGCGGAGGAAACCGAGCACACATTCGGCGCAGCACGCTGATGGGGGGCCAGTGTGGTGCGGAGAATCTGGGGGAAATTGCTGTCTTTCAGATTCATCCAGGGAAATGGGGGAAGAGGAAAAGGACGGCTTCTGTGGACATGGAAGGCCTTCCTGCCCCGCCCTACCCAGTAGTCAAATTGAGGTCGATCACAAAGGGGGCGCTGAGAGGAGATGTCATTAAAAAGGTGTTTGTGAGACTTCTGGAACCTTCCTTGTGAGAGGAGCCCAGGTAGCGTTATTCCTTTCTCTGCAGTTTCAAATCCTTGGGTAGGCGGATGACCCTTTTGAAGAACCCATTCCTCACAGGCAAAAAGGGAAGGAAGAGAAAGGTTCAGAAGGGCTGGAGCTGTGTGCTCACTAACAGACCCACAGGAAGAAGAGAACAAGCGTCAGGATGAGATGTGTTAGGAAGTGTCTCCATCTGGAAGGAAGGAGGGAGGGAAGACACAGTTTCCTTGTTGAACAAAGCCATCTGGTCTCAAGGTGAGGGCATGAGGAGGCAGGAGACACTGACCCCAGATAGTGTGTGAGGAAATCCTGGGGGACAGAGAAAACCATGCAAGGGCCCATCTCCGAAGTCAACAGCCTGGAGCTAAGGAGGCTGTCTCCATCCACTGAGGGCCTGCAATATACCGGAGGGGCCCAAGGAGCCTTCCCCCGCTGTGGCCATCACTGTGCACACACACAAGAGAGACAGAAGAAAGCATTCCAGCCCCTTCATGTGAGGAAAGCACCTCCACACAAGAACAAAAGCCTGGTCTTGGAGAGGAGAGGTCAAGGAGATAAGCCAGCACTGGAGGACGGAGAAATAATGGCAACCTAATAAATACTTGAAAGAGAGCAACCAGGGCCAAGAAATGCTTTCCAGACAGCAACCCAATCAAAGTCACTCCCAGCCTCCTCCTGAGAGAAGACAATAGCTACACCTTGGCCACTCAGATGAGAGAAGGGATAAGAGGAGACACATGGAAATGCAAATATTTTCCTTTCTGAACGGCAAGGGTGACTGGACCACAGAAACCTCACCCCAGAGAGAAGGTTGGAGCTGAAGCTGCTTTCCCAGCTCTGTCCATACACCACTAGGAAAGAAAACACACAAGTCTGGAACCCTGAAAGCTAGTAAGAAGGGAAGGTTTTAGGGGCCGAACTGTGTCCCCCACAATTCATATGTTAAAGCCAATGTCTCAGGAAGTGATTATAAATATTTGGAGGCAGGGCCAGTAAAGAGGTGATTCAAGAAGAAAAGCTAAAAGAAAAAGAAAAAGAAAAAAAAGGAGGAGGAAGAGAAGGAGAGGGAGAAGGAGGAGGAGGAGAAGGAGGAGGAGGAGGAGGAGGAGGAGGAGGAGGAGGAGGAGGAGGAGGAGGAGGAGGAAGAAGAAGAAGAAGAAGAAGAAGAAGAAGAAGAAGAAGAAGAAGAAGAAGAAGAAGAAGAAGAAGAGCTCAAATAAAACTGTTAGGAGGGCCCCAATCCAATCTGACTGGTGTCTTTATGAACACAGGAAATATGGAGACCACACACAGAGACAGCAGGTGCACGTGCACAGAGGGATGGCCAGGTGCAGAGCAACAGGAAGGCAGCCATCCACAAGCCAAGGAGAGAGGCCCCGGGAAAACCCAGCCCTGCCAGCACATTGATCTGGGACTTCAGCCTTCAGAACTGTAAGAAAATAAATCTGTGTCCTGTAAGCCACCCACTCTGTTGTACTTTGTTATTGCAGCCTGAGCAAAATCACACAGAAGGCAATGTGACATGGGAAAGGTGGGGTGGGGGTTAGCTGAAGAAAGGTCTTGGCCAAGGATTATGTAAATTATTTCAAATATTTGGTGAAGGCAGCCAATAAACATCAATTGCCTGAAATGTAGAGCAATCACTCTCAAATCCTAAAGTCTGAATATTTTTAAAGGTCTGTCTGATCCCTTTAATTACACTGAATTATTCACTTTAAGACCGCCTGTCAGCCAATCTTGTGTGTGTGTGTGGGGGGGGGGGGGGGGGGATAGAAAACGCATGGCATGTCCAAAATTATTGTTTACCTAAAGATCTTAGAATGCCCACATCTTAAAGTAAGTCCTCAAGGTTCCATTATCCTATCCCAAAAGGAATGCTAAAGAGGCAAGTCAAAAGGTGAATGCTAAGCCCTTTTTGACTCCCTAAACCATTAACTGGATGTTGAGGAAAGAAAGAATAGAAATTAAAAAAACAAATCTCAGGGATCATTTGGGGTCTTCGAGCCCAACATCCCAAATACCAAGTGCACTCAGATCATGTTTGCTGATTGAGCACTCAGACAAAGCACGGAGGCTCCAGGGCAGTATGTCTAAGGAAGGAGAACTCTGTACCAAAATTGTAGACCCTATAACAGGCAAGACAATAAATCAAGAATCTTCTACATCTCTTGGTGGCCGAGGAGACATCTGGAGTATCTGTATGAACTGACATAGCCGAGGGATATGCTCAGGTCAGCAGCTGTGAAGGGATCGTCTGGAGCTGAGGAAGAGGTGCAATGGCCAGGTGAGGACATTTCCCTTCTGCCTTAACACTCACCTTCCTTCCTCGGAGAGCAGAGCTTGCTGTGCCACCCCAGCCCAGTTCACTCTCAGCCTAGGACACAGCTGACCCACAAGGGCAGCTGAGGCTGAGTTGAAAGAGCCAACCCACCACAGGACATTGAGATCAACCCACGGTCATGACCAGAAGATGCAACAGGTAATTAAAGGAATGCTCCACGGCCCTGCCCACCCACTTCATAAACTGCCCCAGCCCAAAAGCTGGGAACTCACGTCTGTGGTTCTCATTTCTGTGGTTGGGTGGGGACCGGGTCTCCTGGTCTTGAGCTTCATCCCCCTCCTCGCTGGCCAGATGAGTGTGAGCGTAGTGGTAGCTGAGTCCTGGTCGGTTCTTGTAGCGCTTGCCACAGACTAGAGAGGGAAAGAGGAAAGAAAGGAAAAACACAAATGTCAGCAACCTCTATAGCCACTGCCATCATTCTCCCAGGTAGTGACTCTCATCCACCCATTCCTGAGCCGGGGTTCCTTTAGGAAAGTTTTTGCCACCCCCAATCCCTTACTCCCTGGACAGGACCAAAACCACTATAACAAAATGGGTCCGTGTAAAGCAAAACCACAGAAGTAGAAGGTGCAAGTTGGGTGAGAGCGCCATCATTTCCTAGCTGTAAGACCCTAGGCAAGTCACTTACCCTCCCTGGGCCTGCTTCTCGGAGGGAAAATGGGATAATAGTACTTACCTCATAGGGTTGTTGGCGATGAGGTAATCTCTACGCAAGGCATTAGAACATGGTAATGGTGATGATTGTTTTAACTCTGAAGGTTGGACTGGGAGTCTATCCAGTCCAACACCCCATGGCACAGATAGAGCAAGTGAGGCCCAGCAAGGCTAAGTGATTTGCCTGGGAACACACAGCTAGTTGTGGCAGAGCCACTAGAACCCAGGACTCCTGGATCCCTGTGCATTACTTCATCCACCTTCCTGCGGTTGGCTCTGCCTGAAGCAGAAATGCTTAATCTGGATAACATTCTTGATGTATCACTCAGTGATTTCATGTTCCATTTCCATCATGGAAACCACGAAGCCAAGGCATGTTTGGTAGATGTGGGGCAACCAAGAGCTTATGCCCTTGATGCCCTGGCATCCCGGTACTCCAAATCTCTAATGTGTCCTTGCAAGCACTACTTCTCAAATGGACACTCTGAGACAAGGGCAATAAGCAACATAAATACGTCCAAGAAGAAAGAGGGGGCAGTTCTATTGGTTAAATGTTCAGTATCTGAGAAGTCTGGCTACATAACTTAAGACCAGATCACCACCCCCAACCTCACCCAACAATATCTCAGCTCTTAGAGGAATGACACTGCTGGTAGCAGAAGCCTCCAGTGTCTTCTAGTAAAAATCCTATGCCAACCCTCACATCAGGTCTCCACCTTTCCCCAGCAGAGCCAATCACCGTCCCAACCCCACCTCCCACCCCCACCCCCACCCCCAGCCCGCCGATCTGCGGGAAAATCTGAAGTTTCGAGCTTTAAGAGACTCTTTACATATGACTGTGTTATAGTAGTGAGTGTAAATATTGAGTAAGGTAAAAAGAGTACAGACTTCATCGTCAGACCTGGGTTCAAATGCTAGTTCCAGGTGCCCAAGTTGACCAGCTGTGTGACCTCCATAGCATAGAGAAGCTGTTTCCAGCCATCTTACCCAATTCCTTTATTATTTCTAGTAGTTTCTTTTCTTACTAAATTCTCTTAGTTTTTTCAGGTATTATAACCATTAGGGGGGGAAAAGCTGTCATCTCTTCTTTCTCATATTGGTACAAACTATTTTATCTTCTTAGCTTAATTAGTTTGTGAGAAGCACTAACCCGACACTTAAAAATAGCAAAAGCAAGATTTCCCTATTTTAATGCCATTGGACTTAGTGTTTCACTTATTCGAATAAAATACGTGGCTAATTTTTAGTCTTTATTACATTTAAGTAGTTTCTCTTAGTCCTGCTTTAGAGCTCTATTATTGAATTCTATTGACTGCTCCTTCAGCACCTACTCATATATGACTCTGATTTGTTGATAGTGAATTATGTTGATTTCCTAATGTTTCCTACTATTGAACCAAGAATGCACTCCATTTGGTCAGAGTGGATTAGCCATTTGACACACTGCAGCATTCTATTCACTAATATTGCATTTTACACCTACGGCTATGTTGACTTGAGGAATTTTGCTGAGAGAAATTAGACAAGACATATAATCTCTCTGTGCCTCCTTTCTGATCTGAAAATGATGACAGTACTACTTACCATGAAGGATGGTTAAAGGATTTATAGGTCATATTTGTAAACTATCTCACTTAGTACCCAGTACATAAAAGATTTCCAATAGATGGCAGTGAGGGGTGAGAGGTGTCGGCTTGGTCTGCCATGCCATTAGTACCAAACCCTCCAGGGGGACTTGGACCCTTGCCTCACACTACAGAATGTGGCCATTGGTTTAACTTTCTTAGTAAGGTGAGGGTCTGCAATTCAAGCTGGTGACCTAGTGACTATGCATTTAAGTCCTACAATTGGCTACTTACATTATCTCCCTCTCCCTGCTGTAAATATTGCAAAAAAAATTTTTTTTAATGGTACTACACATCTCAATTCCATTTGCCTCAGGAAGTGGGACCTAAGAGGTCCCTGGGGCGTACTCTGGGCTTGCTTGTGGCTTTTCCTAGTTAACATTTTAAATGTCATGAGGTCAATGAACAGCAAATTACGGGTCATTAGATATAAATCCATTTCATCACCAAGTATACTGATGGTAAGAAATAAATGTTGATTAAAATAAGAATGATAGTATCAGTATTTACATGGGGAAACCTCAGCTGCCTGCAGGTCTCCCTCTATAAACCCCTCAGCATTTAATTTCTGCCATTTTGTTATGTCAATTACCAATGTCTTCCTTAATCACAGAATTTCAGGATCTCAATACTATTTGGTCTAATTACCTATCAAATCGTTTTATTCCCATGAATACTCTAGAAGGCTGCCCTGGACCACGTCCAACAATGGGAATTCACTACCCATCCAAGCAGGCATCTCTTCTTTGGACTCCTTGAATTAGTTATATCTGTACTAGAGGGCCTCTCTTAAGGACAGTTTCACAATGATCCCATCTTGATGTCAGTAATTCCACCTCATATGTAGCCATGCATGCATTACACCTTCAAAACATATCCACTGAATAGTTGATGAATGAACACAGAAACACTTTGTAGAAAAGCCTAGAGTGGGGGAGAGGGTAAGTGTGTAGAATCTGATGCAACTATCCACACTAATCTCATACCAATAGTCCTTGAAACCTGCAAAACCAAAATGAAGCCAAAAGATTCCCATATCTCCTTCCCCAACACCACGGAGAGTAAGGACGTTTAGAGCAAAGCCTTTTGCTAGAAGATTGAGTCTCAGAGTGGTCCCCACACCAGCACCATCAGCATCACCTGGGAACTTGTAAGAAATGCAAATTCGTGGGTTCCATCCCAGAGTTTCTGACTCAGGGTCTTGGGGTGGAGCCTGGTGGTCTGGGTTTTAACCAGCCCACCAGGCGATGCATGCTAACATTTGAAAAGCACTCTGCTAGAAGGTTGGTATATTTAGGCTTGACTCTGCCTGCCCTGGATGGCAGTGGCAGGCGAGGACAGTGAGAGGCTGCCCTGAGACCTGTGGTCACTATTAGAATAAAAGATTTGGGCAGCACAAGGTCCTGGAAACCAGACCCCTTTCCCATGCCCCCTATATTTAGGCTCTCCAGATGGAGTTTCGTTTTCCCCTCACCTGCTTCTACCATCTCATTTCAAAAAACAAAAACAAAAACAAAACAAAAAAACACTATTAACCATCTAACATGGAGGGGCAGGCATGTGGCACCAGAAAAAGAAGAATTAAATGAGCCCCACTCCCCTCCTTCAAGCAGCTCAAAGTCTAGCAGAGCAAGCGTACAAGCCAGGGAAGCAGGAAGGCGGGATAAATGCACCGAGGGAATCACGCACCCTGCCACGAGGGCCAGCACCTGGGCCTGAGGGGTGGGGGTGGCTTCCAGAGGAGGTGGGATGCCCTGTGGCTGAGAGAGGAGCAGGATATCACCAAGCAGACAAAGCACAGCACCTGTTTTCAACCTGATTGCTTTTTCCAGTCAAATCTGTCAGACTGCTTTCACCTGTGCAGCGTATATAATCCAATATGGCAAAGTCTTCAGTAACCTGCGGGCACTGTGACGCGTGGGAACACCATCCTCTTCACCCAATTCTGCCCTCAGTGATCGGAAGGTTCCTACTTCATCTGTGGATGTCTCTGCACTGTCTATCCTCCACTTTCCTGAAATGTTCTGATCAATTACAAGTTTTCTGAAAACTACTCCTGCGATGGGCGACCGACACACAGACAGCACAGACTTAGCACCTGCTCAGCCATCTTCCCTCGCAAACACCGGGGACCTACTGAGGGACCCTATTTTAATTTTCTACGTGTGAGACAATGCAGCCTCAGGAGGAAAGAGGGTTTGAAGAGAGAGAATCTGGCAGAAAGGAGTCCGTTTAAACAGCAAGGAGATGCCGAGAGAGACTAACACAGCCTTCCTCCCCTGCCTCATCCACCTCCCAGCCCCACCCACCTTCTCAGCCTCTTCCCATCTCCCTGCCTCATCCGATGCCACATTTCACCTCCTCAGCCATCCCCTCCCACTCACTGGCCTTTCCATTTCTTCAATATTTTTATTTCCAGCACAGAGCACTGGCACAAGCTTTTTCCTCTGCCTAAACTGTCTCCCACCCCCAAGTTGCCTGGTTAATGCCTTCATATCCTTCAGATCTTGGTTCTTCCAATCAAAATTAGGATGCCGGTTTGTTACCTTCCCAGAACTAATCATGTACCCATGTGTGTCCCTCCCGCCGGCTGGGAGCATGGCAGCCCCTGTGTGTTTGCACACTGTCTGACATTCCCAAGGAGCAGTATGGGGCCTGATTCACGGCCAGCACTCAATATCAGTTAAAGGGACAAATAGAAACACCCATGTTTCTGAGTCGGGCAATGTGGTAAGAGAATGAGTTTGGTCTGGGACTGGCTTATATACCCAAAGCTTGGGAGAGTGTTATGGATTTTGGAGTTAGCAGGGTGGTGAAATAAGTGATGGACATGGAGAAGAGAGATAATGGGGGAAGAGATGAAAGGTGTGAACACAGGATAGATCTCAGAAAACCGTGGTTTGTAAGAGTTAGGTAGAAAAAGAAAAACTGGTGTCTCACAAGGTAGTTAAGAAAGACTCGCACAGCAGTCAGCTACACGGAGGAGTAGGCTTTCCAGAGGACAGTAGCCATACCACCAATCCTGGCTAACTACCGAGTGAGTGCCATGTCCCAGGCCTGCTCCAATGCTT